AGCTGGCAAAACCCTGTCTTTACAAAAAATAGAAAAATTAGCCAGTCATGGTGGCCTGTGTTCCCAGCTACTTGGGAGGCTGAGGTGGGAGGATCTCTTGAGCTTGGGAGGCAGAGGTTGCGGTGAGCTGAGATGATACTACTGCATTCTAGGCTGGGTGACAGAGTGAGACCATGTCTCAAAACAAAACAAAACAAAAACACCCCCCAAAACCCAAAGAAGAGCTAATGGACAGGCACGGTGGCTCATGCCTGTAATCCCAGCACTTTGGGTGGCTGAGGTGGGCAGATCACCTGAGGTTGGGTGTTTGAAACCAGCCTGGGCAACATGGTGAAACTTTGTCTCTATTAAAAATACCAAAATTAGCTGGGCATGGTGGTGGGCACCTGTAATCCCAGATGCTTGAGAGGCTGAGGCAGGTGCTACACGTTACATTGAGTAATGTGTAGAGGCTGGCTTGAACTCAGGAGGCAGAGGTTGCAGTGAGCGGAGATTGCACCATTGTACTCCAGCCAAGGGCACAGAGCAAGACTCTGTCTCAAAAAAAAAAAAAAAGGAAGAGGAAGGCCGGGCGTGGTGGCGGTGACTCACACCTGTAATTCCAGCACTTTGGGAAGCCGAGACGGGCAGATCATGAGGTCAAGAGATCGAGACCATCCTGGCCAACACAGTGAAACCCCGTCTCTACTACAAATACAACAAAAGTAGCTGGACGTGGTGGTGCACGCCTGTAGTCCCAGCTACTAGGGAGGCTGAGGCAGGAGAATTGCTTCAACATGGGAGGCGGAGGTTGCAGTGAGCCAAGACTGCACCACTGCACTCCAGCCTGGCGCCTGGCAACAGAGCAAGACTCTGTCAAAAAAAAAAAAAAAGAAAGAAAGAAAAAGAATTATGCAAATCTACTCTATCTGTGCTCTACAAATCAACAAAACACATCTGTTTAAAGCATAGTTCACTGAATATTTTAAGCCCACTGTAGAGATCTACTTCTCAGAAGAAAAAAAGATTTCTTTAAAAATATTACCGCTCACTGACAACATACCTCATCACCCAAGAGCTCTGATGGAAATGTACAAAGAAATTAACATTGCTTTCATGAAATTAATATTGCTTTCAAATTAATATTGCTGCCAAAACAACATCCATTGTGCAACCCCACAAGTCAAGGTCAAGTAGTAATTTTGACTTTCAAGTCCTTTTTATTTGTTTTGAGACAGGGCCTTGTATTGTGACCCAGGCTGGAGTGCAGTGGTACAATCATGGCTTACTGATGAAGCCTCGACCTCCTGGGCTCAAGTGATCCTCCCACCTCAGCCTTCCAAGTTGCTGGGAGCACAGGCGCATGCCACGACATCAAGCTAATGTTTGTACTTTTTGTAGAGATGGGTTTTGCCATGTTGCCCAGGCTGGTCTTGAACTCCTGAACTCGAACAATCTGCCATCTCAGCCTCCCATAATGCTGGGATTAAAGGTAGGAGCCAGACTTCCAAGTCATATTTAAAAGACTCAGGCCGGGCGCGGTGGCTCAAGCCTGTAATCCCAGCACTTTGGGAGGCCGAGGCGGGTGGATCACAAGGTCGAGAGATCGAGACCATCCCGGTGAACATGGTGAAACCCCGTCTCTACTAAAAATACAAAAAATTAGCTGGGCATGGTGGCGCATGCCTGTAATCCCAGCTACTCAGGAGGCGGAGGCAGGAGAATTGCCTGAACCCAGGAGGCGGAGGTTGCAGTGAGCCGAGATCGTGCCATTGCACTCCAGCCTGGGTAACAAGAGTGAAACTCTGTCTCAAAAACAAAAACAAACAAAAAAAGACTCATAAGGATACAGCTGCCATAGCGATTCCTCTGATGAATTCAGGCAAAGTAAACTGAAAACCTCCTGGGAAGGATTCACCATTCTAGATGCCATTCAGAGAATTCAAGAGAAGAGGTTAAAAAAAAAAGCAACAATAACAGGCATTTGGAAGAAAATGATTTGAATACTCATGGATGACTTTGGGGGTTCAAGACTTCAGTGGAAGAATTAACTGCAGATATGTGGAAAGTGCAAATGAAATTAGGATAAGAAGTGGGGCCTTAAGATGTGACTGAATTGCTGCAATCTTGATAAAACTTAAATGCATGAGGAATTGCATGTATAAGCAAAGAAAGTGGATTATTGAGTTTATGAAGATCATCATTCAACATCACTTCACTCCTGGTGAAGATGCTGTGAACATTGTTGAAATAACAACAAAGGATTTGGAATATTATATAAACTTAGTTGATAAGTGGCCAGGGTTAAGAGGATTGAATCCAATTTTGAAAGTTGCTCTACTGTGGGTAAAATGCTATCAAACTGGATCGCATGGTACAGATAAATCTTTTGTGAGAGAGAAAGTCAATCAATGTGGTAAACTTTATTGTCGTCTTATTTTAAGAAACTGTCAGTCATCCCAACCTTCAGCAACTACTAATCTGATCAATTAGCAGCCATCAACATTAGACAAGATCTTTCATCAGCAAAAAGATTACAACTTGCTGAAAGCTCAGATAACTGTTAGCATTTTCTAGCAATAAAGTATTTTTACTTTAAGGTATGTACTTTCAAAAGACATAGTGCTATTGCACACTTAATAGACTACATTATAGTATAAACATAACTTTCATATGCACTGGGACCAAAAAAACTCGTATTACTTGCTTTAATGCAATACATGCTTTGTTGCCGTGGCCTTGAACCAAACTCGCAGCATCACCTAGGTATGCCTGTATCTAAAAATGTGGAAGTGGCTTTGAAATTGAGTAATGTGAAGAGGCTGGGATAATTCTGAGGTGCTTGATAGTAAAAGCCTAGACTGCCTTGAAAAGATTGTTGGTAAAAATACGAACTTTGCAAGCATCATAGAATCCCAGGGACTTTAATATTGCAAGAGCAGACACATGTTGCATGGGGTTTAAAAAGTGAGAAGTAAGTAAACCTAATGGTTTTACATGCTGTTTAAAGAAGACAGATGATTCCATTAGTACAACAAATTAGCATCCCTAATTTAAAAGGACTAGTATAAGAAAATATTATCATTATTGCCATAGCACTTCTGCAGTTAACATTACCTTGGAGCAGATAAATTTTTATTAAAATGTAGAAAGCCAGGTCACAGACTGCATTCTTTTCCTCATTTACTTACACTGATTGGACAAATTCAGGCAGTGTATATGAAAAGTGGATTCTTTATAGTCAGATTAGTTTGAATCTGAGATTGTCACTTAATGTAAGCTTGGACAAGTAACAGCCTTTTGGCCTCAATTTTCTTGAATAATGGCTTAATTTTAAGGGTTATAATTTTTGTGCTAGGTTTCACTATTTTTTTTTTTTTTGAGACAGGGTCTTGTTGATACCCTGGCTGGATTGGTCACCTTTGTATCTTTCTGTGTGTTGCATAAGTGCCTTCTATACATGATAGGCTTTACCAAAAGTGTTTTTGGAATGAATCCTACTTAATTTCATTTGTATCCAAGTTTTCCAACCAAATCTCCACTTCAAGGACTTTCCATGTGCTAGCTGCTTTTTCAGGAATGCTTTTTTCTCTCCTCTAGCTAATTTCTAATCAAACTTCAGGTCTAAACTTCCTTGAGAGATTATTTATTTTTTGAGATGAAGTCTTGCTCTGTCACCCAGGCTGGAGTGCAGTGGTGCAATCTCGGCCCACTGAAACCTCCACCTCCCAGGTTCAAGAAATTCTTGTGCCTCAGCCTGAGTAGTGCAATTACAGGAATCTGCCACCATGTCCGGCTAATTTTTGTATTTTTAGTAGAGAGGGGGTTTCACCATGTTGCTCAGGCTGGTCTCAAACTCCTGACCTCAGGTGATCCTCCCGCCTCGGCCTCCCAAAGTGCTGGGATTACAGGTGTGAGCCATTGCACTTGGCCCCTTGAGAGATCTTTTAAAGTCCCTTCAGATATGTTAAATCCTAGTTATATGCTCACAAAACACTGTATTTTCAAATCAAAACACTTATTACAACCATAATGAAATAACTGTTTATAGTTTCCCTACCTGCTAGATTTCTTTATGAAGGCAAGGATGTTCAGTTTATTGTGGCATCCACTGTGCTTAGACAATATAGGGTAAATGTTGGCTGTTGGCTATAATAATAACTATTACGGACATTCAAAGAATTTTTTGAATGAATAACCCTGAGCAGTTCTGTTTCTCTTAGTGCTGTGACATTATGTACAAAAGTACATGAGGACTGTTTAGTGGCTCCCTAGTATTGATCAAGCACAAACACTGCTTCTCTTCACCATATTATAGCAGGCCATTTCCACGTTTCCTTGTTTCAGCCAGTGACAACTACAGGTCCCAAATGGCCACGCTGATATTAAACATTAATGCATGGCTGCCAATGAGAACTGTGCACCGGGCAGGAACATGCATCATGCTTGGGTGTGAGAAATGAATGAGATCAGGTAAGTACTCAGAGAGATGATCCTAGCACAGCCAGCACATGCCAAGCTCATTCAGTGAGCTCAGGTCTCACCAGCCCCTGCTCTGTCTTGCTGTGTTACTTTTGACAAGTTATTTTGCTGGGGTTCGGTTTCCTCGGCTGCTAGACTTCTGTGCACCTTTGTTTATTCAAATAAACTTTTCACTTCATTGAACTGCTGTTGCTCAGGTCTGCCTTTGGCGTCTCCTATACTTCCCAGGGATGTGAAATAGGTCCCTCAGACAAATACTCGGTCTGAAGATGAAATGGGGGCAGAACTCAAGCCGCGGGCTTGTATCTCGGATAAACACTGCGTAGTGAACCACACTGGTGCCTCCCGCTCTCCTCCGCACCTGCACAAACCCGCAACTGCCCCTCGGAGTTGGTCATCTGACTTCTCTGGAGTAACAGCCACATACTCCGTAAAGGGTCCGGAACTCCAGCCTCCAGAGACTTCAGACAATTTTCTCAAGTCCGCGAACTTACCCTCCCCGTCGGCATCGCACCCACCCCTTCCCCGGGCCCTGTCACCTTGACTGCCTGATTCATGGCTCTCCTCACGGCGGCCGCTACCTCCGGAGCAGTCGAGGAGCCCCGCCTCTCAGCAACCAAGCAAAGCCTGAATTGTCCAATTCCCAGTAGCCGCGTAACTAACGCGCCACAACCAATCACCATGCAGCGCCTCCGTTTTAGCCCCGCCCTCCTCGAAAAGGACCAGGCTGGCGGCGTATGCTAAACGGATGGCAACTGATAAAACCGCGAGAAGCCGCAGAGCCCAATTACTGTCCAGAAGAGAACGGAAATCGCCTGGACGCCATGTTAGTTGGGGGCAGAGTCACTTCCGGCTCAGGGAACCTCTGTATCAGGCTGGGTTTGTATTTAGCTGATGGCATCGGCGCCCGCGTTATTGTTACCTCCTGTCGAGGGTTTAGGATCGTCTGTGAAAGAACCCTTATTTTAGCGTTTCCCAGTTGCTACTGTCTCTTTGGAAATGTGCAGAATAAAAACCAAGTCCCAACTGCAGCAGGTATTGATTGGAACGCTGACTTCTAAAAATTCTATGCGTATATTCTCTCATTTATTTCCTCAGAAGGTGAGGTTAAATTACTCTCTGAAGTTCTCATGGCTAGTAAATGGACATCTGGGATGCAAATCCGCTATGCCTGACCTTAAAGCCTAGTCTTACCCTTTACATTTTGCCTATTCAACTCTCTCAACTCCTTGGTTTTGCTGATAAAGAGGTAGGAAATAGGTAATTAATCAGCAGCAGCATAATCAGAAACAATCATAAGGCAATTTATTTAAGTGCGTTTTAACTTACGACTTTGCAAGCATCGAGAAAAAACTCTGTAGACATGTTACTAACGTGCCACAACCTTTTCCTATTGTTCCTATTGCATAATTGTTCTCCTTCCCTACCCCATAGCCTTTCAGGTTAACTTTTACGTAAAATTTACTTCTTATTGAAAATGAAAGATCTGGACCAATGGATTTCCAAGGCCCTTTTTCTTCTATGTGATCAATGTTATTTTAAGGAATTATTGCAAGTCATTCTGAAAATAGCAAGATAATTGATTTTTTTAAAAATTAAAGTGCATTCGATTTGCAGAACATTTAACGTAAGGAAGCAATTAAACCAAGTGTACTGGATATTGTTTTTTATCTAGGAAACAATAAATTAGATCATCTTGGACCTTGCATTGTATCTCCTGAATGCTGACAGTGATTTAAAATATGTCCCATTCTTGCTCCCCCATTTTCACTGTAGAATAATAGTGCGGCTTCCTGAAAATTCATAACTTATTGTGATGATTTCTTGCTAGCTACTGTCCTGTATTTAGTTAACCAAAACCCCTCATCTGCTGATATTTGAAAACAGTTCGTATAATGACATAATCAGTTCAGTTCTGTGGCCCTTCTTTTGTTAGATAAATCTGTATGACTCTTTTAACTGTTCTGCATATGAGGTGGGCTCTTTACTATCCTACTTGTTCTGGGAACATGGCCTGGTTTGTCTTGTCACCCTAAAATAATCAAAAGGCTAAGGAAACAGTTAGAAAAGGGTTTATTCAGCTGGAAAGTATGAGGGCAGTCACATGGGAACATGTAGACACCAAAAAATGGTGATACGTGCTTCCAGTGTGAGGAAAAGTGAAGATTGTTTATGGAAGACAAAATGGAGATGCTGAAAAGAATTACAACGTCTTCCGAACAACAGATAACATCCAGATTTAAGATCTGATTGACTGCTATTGATTACACTCTAAGATGGTTGCTTAATATTTTTTTGTAAAAAAGTAACAATCACAAGGGTCTACAGCTCCAATATTATGTAGTCTAGGTTTGAATGAAGAATAGGGAGTCTGATTAATATATAACATTTCAACATAAAGGTCAGGAAGCAACAATAGTCATGTACCAGAGAAGAAAAACAGCTGTATTACATGACTCAGTTTTCAGGGCTTAACTTTTCTCCCTCAGTTTAATAAATTTGGAAGGTACTGAAATTGCATTTTCTTTTTAAAGTTTGTATCTCAAAATATAAGTTGCAGAACTGAACAGGAAATTCCAACATGTCATCATGTAAGTTCACAAAGCTATGTAGTAGGCAGAATAATGGCCTCCAGAAGATGTGTTCAGATTCCAGGAACCTCTGACTATGTTATATATGACAAGAGACTTTGAAGATGTCATTAAATTAAGTATTTTGAGATGGGAAGATTATCCTGGATTGTCTGGTGGACTCTGTAATCACAAGAATCTTTATAAATGAAAGAAGGAAACAGGTCAGGCAGTAGTTTGAAGATGTTCTGCTGCTGGCTTTGAAGATGAAGGAAGGGGCCACAAACCAAGGAAAGCAAGCCTCCTCTAGAAACTGGAAAAGGTGAGGAAATGTTTTTTTCCCTACAACAACCAGGAGGAATGCACCCTTGCTAACACTTGATTTTAGCTTAGTGAAACACAATTTGGACTTCTGACTTTCAAAAATGCTACCTGTTTTTGGCTCCTTCCACTTTCAAAGCCAATAATGGAGCATCTTCAAATCTCAGACTCTCACCTCTGCTTCTGTGGTCACATCTCCTCTTACTCTCACTCTTCTTTTTCTCTCTTTAACTTACAAGGGCTCTTGTGATTACTTTGGGCCCACCTGGATAATACAGGATCCTCCCTATTCCAAGATCCTTAACTTAATCACATCTACAAAATCTCACTTACCATGTAAAGTAACATATTCACAGGCTCCAGGGATTAGGACATGGGCATCTTCTGCCTAGCACACTGAGTTTGGGTGATGCCAGTAAATAAGGTTGAAATGGAAAGAAATGAGGTAGAAGCAGCAGCAATGGACCTGATCACATAGTGTCCTATAAGCCAAGGAAAGGATTTTGGATTTTATTCTGTGATGGTATACACTAGCATATTACCAGCAGGAGAAAGACATTATGATTTATATTTTATAAAGATCATTTTGGGTGCTGTGTGGCAAATTAACTACAATGGAAGCAGAGAGGTTCTCCAACAGGGAGCCTTTCAAAGTATTCCAGGAAAGAGGTGTTAGTAGCTTGGATTAGAGTAGTAGAGGTAGAGGAGGTAAGAAGTGATTAGATTCTTAGTGATGTGTGCTGAAAGTACAGAGAGAAGATTTAAGGATAATTTCAAGGTTTTTGGTTGGAGTAATTGGGTGAATGGTGGTACCGCAGATATACTGCAAAAGGAGGTTTTGGTTTGTTTGTTGTGGAGGGAGTCAAAATAAAATTGCAATGCCTGGTAGCCATCTAAGTGGAGGTGGTCAGTAGGCTGTGATGTATATCATTGTGATGTATATCACAGCCTATTGACCACCTCCACTTAGGTGGAATTAAGGGGAGAGGTAGGTCAAGAAACAAATACTTGAGAGTCACTACTTCATAGATGGTAAAGCCTTCAGATAAAGTGAAAGCTGACCATACTATTTATTATCCAAACGAGCACACATTTTAACTTTTTATTTTGACAATTTCAGACACAGAAAAATTTCAAGAATAATACACAGAATTTGCATATGCCTTTTACTCAGATCCTCCAAATGTTAACATTTTATTATAATTGTTTTATTCTCTGCTGGGCACAGTGGCTCACGCCTGTAATCCCAGCACTTTGGGAGACCGAGGCGGGTGGATCACGAGGTCAAGAGATCGAGACCATCCTGGTCAACGTGGTGAAACCCCGTCTCTACTAAAAATACAAAAAATTAGCTGGGCATGGTGGCGTGTGCCTGTAGTCCCAGCTACTCAGGAGGCTGAGGCAGGAGAATTGCCTGAACCCAGGAGGCGGAGGTTGCGGTGAGCCGAGATCGCGCCATTGCACTCCAGCCTGGATAACAAGAGCGAAACTCCGTCTCAAAAAATAATAATAATAGCCAGGTGCGGTAGCTCACGCCTGTAATCCCAGCACTTTGGGAGGCTGCGGCAGGTGGATCACGAGGTCAAGAGATCAAGACCATCCTGGTCAACATCGTGAAACCCCGTCTCTACTAAAAATACAAAAAATCAGCTGGGCATGGTGGCGTGTGCCTGTAATCCCAGCTACTCAGGAGGCTGAGGCAGAATTACCTGAACCCAGGAGGCGGAGGTTGCGGTGAGCCGAGATCGAGCCATTGCACTCCAGCCTGAGTAACAAGAGCGAAACTCCATCTCAAAATAATAATAATAATAATAATAATAATAATAATAGTAATAATAGTTTTATTCTTTTCCATTCCTCTACTTATCTATAGACAGACACTTTTTCTCTGAATTGTTTGAAAGTAAGTTGCAGACATGATACCCATACCCTTAAATACTTAAGTGGATTTTTCCTACAAAGTCATTCCCTTGTATAACTAGTTCTTAAAGTATGGTTCTTGGGTCAGCTGCAACTGTATATCACCTGGAAAGTTGGAAACCTAGCTTGTAGGACCCCACTCCAGACGAACTGATTTTGAAAGTTTTTCTGTGGTTGTGAAAGTAAATTAACATGACTTCAAAACTATTATCTAATTTATAGGCATTATTTAGATTTTACCAATTGTCCCAATAACATCCTTGGTGGCAAAAGTACCAATGGGACACTTTTGAGATTAAAGAGAACCACAGTCAGTAATTTTGCCAAGACAGAGTAGTAGAGTGTAATCATAAAAGGCAGTTGGGCTCACACCTGTAATCCCGGCACTTTGGGAGGCTGAGGCAGCCGTTTTACCTGAAGTCAGAAGTTTGAGACCAGCCTGGCCAACATAGGGAAACCCTGTCTTTACTAAAAAAAACAAAAATTAGCCGGGTGTGGTGGTGTGTGCCTGTAGTCCTAGCTACTTGGGAGGCCGAGGCACGAGAATCAATTGAACCCGGGAGGCGGAGGTTACAGTGAACCGAGATTGTGCTACTGCACTCGAGCCTGGGCGACAGAGCAAGACTCTGTCTGAAAAAAAAAGGCACTGAAGAGGTATACTTTTTCTTAAGACGTATACTTAGAAGTCTAAGGTCTAGTATTATGAGAACTGGAACTGTCCATAGGATTTTATAAATTGATGTTCTTAGTGACCTTGACAAGAGGAAAATGGACTCAAAAAAGAAAGATAAGAAAGCCCATACGGTATGTAGAAA